ATTTAGTTTACTTTTCACATGATTGCCTAGAGTAATTATTCAGCTTAAGATGAACTATTCTTTCCCCCATTTTGATAAGGAATCAATAAATGAGGTTTAATAAGTTCATCTTAGGGACATTATTTTCTGTTTTAAGCTGTAGCAGTATGGCAAAAGATATCACCGGTATTTGGAAAAATATCGATGATAAAACTGGCTCATCTAAAGCTGTGCTTGAAATACGCAAAGAAGCCAATGGCACATATACTGGTAAAATCATCAAAATTACCCCACGTCCTGGTTATACTCCAAAAGAAACCTGTATAGACTGTCCAGCGCCTTATACCAATAAACCCATTTTAGGTATGGATGTTCTTAAAAATCTCAAACAAACCAGTGAAGAAGATTATGTCGGTGGAAAAATTATTGACCCACTTACAGGTAAAATTTACTCCATGAAAGCCAAACTCAACTCAAACGGTAATCGCTTAATGTTAAGAGGTTATGTGGGGGTGTCTGCACTTGGTCGTAGTCAAACTTGGATTCGTGAATAAGGTTTTATTCACGAATCACAACATTTAAACTTAAAAGAAAATAGGTATGCTTATGAAAAAAGGAATTTTCAGTTGTATGCTACTGGGAATGATCAGCTGGACACATGCAGCTGACATCACTGGCACATGGCGCACTGTTGATGATAAAACAGGTTATGTTCGTGCACATATTCAAATCGAGAAACTAAAAGATGATACTTATGTCGGCAAAATCATTAAAGATTTTCCTGCACCCGGTGAACCGGCTTTAACACAATGTCGCAATTGCCCCGCACCCTTTACCAATAAACCGATTATTGGCTTAACCATTTTACAAAAGTTAAAAGCTGATCCAAATAACCCAAACAACTATATTGGTGGTGAAGTTCTGGATCCTCGTGGAGGAAAAATTTATCACGGTAAAGCCCGCTTAAATGCAAGTGGAAACCGCCTGACCTTACGTGGCTATCTTGGTATTTCGCTGATTGGTCGAAGTCAGACATGGATTCGACAAGAATAATTTGCTTTTCAGTTGATAGATAAATCCGCAATTTAAAAGATTAAAATCATTGAAAATGGCACATTAACACTGTGCTTGAATCTCGTGACATTATCCAAAATAAAAGCCACATGTTGTGGCTTTTATTCATATCAAAAAACAGGATTATCGACACTAAAAAGTTTTTGATCCTCTAGTCGATAAGCCAGCAGTTGATGCCCCCAGACACAGCCACCATCGACATTTTGGATTTGCGCATTGATACGCTCACCTTGCAACGCTGCCCAATGTCCAAAAACGATTTGATGAGTTTTTGCTGTCTGTGATTCAAATTTAAACCATGGCTGAAAACCTGCTGGCATCGGCTCATCTAAAGCATCTTTAAAACTAAACTCTAAACGACCTTGTGCATCTGTCAGGCGCATACGGGTTAAATAGTTAGTAATACAACGTAAGCGAGCATGGCCTTGTAAATCATCTCCCCATAAATCTGGTTCAGTGCCATACATCTCTTTTAGAAATGAATCAAGCACAGCAAAGTCATCATGCGCTAAGACTGCTTGCACTTCTTTGGCCAACGCTACGGTCTTTTCCGCATCCCAAATATTCGGGATACCCGCATGGGTCAAAATCGTCTTTTCATTGGGAAATAAACACAAAGGCTGTTTACGCAACCAATCAACCAATTCATCACTTTCTAAAGCATGAATGACATCATCAATATGGTCTTTTTCTTTGAGCTTTTTGATCCCACGTGCAACCGCCAGCAAATTTAAATCATGATTGCCAAGGACTGTCGCAGCATTGCCTTGTTCGCATAATTTTTTAATAAAGCGTAATGCACCCACTGAGTTTTCACCACGGGCGATTAAATCGCCCGCAAACCAAATAAAATCTTGATCAGCATCGAACTGGATTTCTTTGAGTAGTGCTTTCAGTGCTTCAAAACACCCTTGTACATCGCCAATCACATAATTATATCTGACTTTTTCCAGTGCCATTTAAGCCACCATTTGGTCAGATAATGCAACAAACTGAGCCAATGTTAAGGTTTCTGGACGTGCCATTGGATCTACACCAGCATTTTCAAAACCGTCTTCTACCAACATGCCTTTTAAGCTATTACGTAGCGTTTTTCGGCGTTGTGTAAACACATGCGATACCAAACGAGCCAAGGCTTTTTCACTTTTAGCAACAATTGGTTTAGTCGCATAAGGCTCTAAACGAAATACCGCAGATGTTACTTTTGGTGGTGGATTGAATGATCCCGGTGGTACTTCAAACAAGAAAGTAGGTTTACAAAAGTATTGAATCATCACCGACAAACGCCCATATTCTTTGGTGTTTGGGGATGCGGTAATACGATCAACTACTTCTTTTTGCAACATAAAATGCATGTCTTTGACTTTGTCACCAAATTCCAAAAGATGGAAAAGCAAAGGCGTTGAAATATTATAAGGTAGGTTTCCGACCACACGTAAAGGACGACCTTCCTGAAATAATTCAGTAAAATCATATTTTAACGCATCAGTTTCAATGATGGTGAGGCGTTCAGGATGTGGTACTCGACCCGGCAAGCCTGCTGCCAAGTCACGATCCAGTTCTAGCACAGTCAAAGCGTCACATTCACCATTTAAAGGTGAAGTTAAAGCGGCTAAACCCGGTCCAATTTCAACAATATTTTCCCCTGATCGTGGGGCAACAGAACGAACAATTTTGGCAATCACACGTTGGTCATGTAAGAAGTTTTGTCCAAAACGCTTACGCGTATGATGCCCTTCATCTTTAGGGTTTAGGGCATTAATTTGATACATAAAATTCTCCACATTGATTGATGACCACTATTGCGTATTCGACTCTAACTTGCTTAGGCTATTAAAGATTTCATCAGATTTAGTTACATTTTCACTCGCTGCCTTATATGCTAAAGCGAGATTCTCTGGTTTTCTAAGAAGATTCATAACCTCAGACTCTGAGATTTTCTTAATATCTTCTTGAATTGACTCTAAGCCCTCACGCATCTCTGCATCTTTAACACGATCTATACCCAGTTCAGTATTTCCTTTAAGTTGTGCTTCAAGGTAGATATTCAATACCTCAAGATCAGCCAGAAAATCTTCCATATTGATTGCTGAATCTTCATCACCTCTGGATATTTTTTGCATTGAACGTAATACACGCTCACCCAAAAAAACTTGATTTTTTGCAATGATAGCTTGAGTTGAAGGATAATTTAAGCGGACCATTCGATCTACCACTAAATTATATTCAGCTTGAATACCAGGTATAATTTCTTGAACAAAAATACTGAAGTCTTGTAAAGCCATTAGTTTATCTCGATGCTTTACCAGAAGATCAATATTAGCATTGATTGCTTCTCCGTCTTTAAGCATTTTATCCATGCCACTATGATTCGCATATTTTTTATGCACCATTGCCAATGCTTGATTAAATTTTTCTTGGCTGTTCTTTAAATTATCTACAGTGAGTGAACCAGCATATTGCACAACATCTTGTGACTGTCTTGGAATTTGCAGTGATAAAACCCTTAAATCACAAACACTGTGATCCATTGCAAGGTTCGAGCAAGCAGATAGCATAGCGGCGATCAATACAGCCGCTATGCTATTTTTTATGCAACGCTTCATGGATTGTGGTTTTATATGGTTGTTCTTATGCTTAATGATTGACATTACTAACTTTCCATCGATGTAAAATTTAAAAATTATTATTCAATAAAGTTAATTCGAGCGAGCGAGATCAAGCGCTAAATCGACAGCGACATGCAAACTTGAACTTTTTGCAAGGCCTGTACCTGCAAGGGAGAGCGCAGTACCATGATCAACTGAGGTACGAATAAAAGGCAAACCTAAAGTAATATTGATGGCTTCACCAAATCCCTGCGATTTTAACACAGGTAAACCTTGATCGTGATACATCGCCAAAACAGCATCAGTATCTTTTAAATGATCCACAGTAAATAAGGTATCAGCAGGCATACTTAAACTCATGTCTATGCCTTGGACTCGATAACTTTCAAGCACTGGATTGATCGTATCAATTTCTTCATGACCTAAGTAGCCACCCTCTCCAGCATGCGGGTTTAAACCACACACTAAAATACGCGGATGATTAATTTTAAATTTTGTTTTTAAATCATGAATAAGAATATCAATTACCTGATGGAGACGCTGTTTGGTAATGGCATCTGCAACATCCCGCAATGGTAAATGCGTGGTCACTAAAGCGACTCTTAAGGTTTTTGTTGCAAGCATCATGACCACACGTTCCACGCCTGCAAACTCTTGGTAATACTCTGTATGGCCGCTGAAGTGGATCCCTGCATCATTGATGATTGACTTTTGTACAGGTCCAGTTGCCACTCCAACACTCAGTCCTTGCATGGCATAGTATGCAGTTCGGCGTAATTGTTCGATCACATATGCAGAGTTTTGTGGGTTTAACTCACCTAAGACAACATCTACAGCTAAAGGAACATGTTCCACATAGAGCTGACCTTGAGCCAAACACTCCTTCTGCCCTTCATACTCAATAAGCTGAATGCTTTTGTTTAAAATTTTGGCACGATCCCTCAACATATTGATATCAGCCAATACAACAACTGGACGATCATCGATACGATCTGCCAAATCTAAACAAATATCTGGGCCAATGCCAGCAGGCTCACCACTGGTTATATATAAAGGAAGCATCTAGAACTCTTTTAACAGACCTTGCAGAGACAGTATACATCGGTTCTAAATTATCATTTCCAATTCAAGTTCATTTTTATATCGAATATAACGGAAACATGTAAAAAATTAACCAAAAACAATTTCTCGAGAGAACTATGCGACTCAATTGTAAACATTTTTTCTATTTCAGTTTTAGATAGCTGAAATTTATAATGAAAAATATATATAAAAATACATCACTTATGCTGTAAATCAGCAATAAAGTTAGGTCGATTACAGCTTAAGCTTAAAGTCTAAAAGAAATATCCTTTGCAAAACTATACCGCCCTACATATTTCCATCATTGTAATCTAAGTCAAAAGTTATCTATTCGACGACTATTCTTTTAGCAATTCATTCTATAAAAATTAACGGATTGAATATCACATCGTAAACAGAATGCTTAGAGCTGACTTTTAGACGCTGGCCGAGTTTCTGGTTGAGCTTGCTCTTGATCAACTTTAGTGAAATCAAACATCGATTCAACGTCTTTCCCACACTTGGCTGGATCAATATGTTGATCAAAGATTATTCTAACCCGTTGGTCAGGTTCAACTTTTCCATAGACTGTATATTCGCCACTTCGGCTTTTATCGTCATCATCCTCCCATTGCACGACAGCATCGACTTCTTCACCGATAGGGATGTGTTGCGTTTGAATGAGTAATCCAATCGCTTGGCAAGGATATGCGGATTGAATTTCTTCACTAAAATCGACAGTCATCCATTTCGCATCCAAGATCGTATCTAATTCACCTCGCTGTTGTTTTCTTGCTGCTTTTTCTTCCTTGGTTTTTCCTAATTGTTTTATTTTTTCATTTTCCCATGTTTTTTCATTTTTTAGTATGTTCTTTGGATTCATTTGATTGAACTGGGCTTGCTGATCCAGCAAATCCGCTTGAGCAAAACTCAGGTTTAAGTTACCTATACCCAATAGCAGTAGAACGAATTTTATTGAATTTATTATTTTCATTTTTGCCTGACTTATTTTCTTTATATCACCTTAATTATTCATGAAGTCCGTCACAATTCCAATATAAATCAGAAAACCTTACAACATTTTATCCAAACTAAGCTTTGCTTTTGGGTACGTTTATCAATATAATGATGCGCTTGAAATTCAATATTTCAATTGCGACTCTAACTCTTTTCAGATAGAATTCGCACTCCTTTTTGTTTGGACAGATTCCATAGTCCAAACCAACTATAATAGGTAGTGGTTTAATGAAAACTCTCAGCGCTAAGCCAGCTGAAGTTCAACACGACTGGTATGTTGTTGATGCTTCTGGCAAAACTTTAGGTCGCCTTGCGACTGAAATCGCTCGTCGTTTACGCGGTAAACACAAAACTTCTTATACGCCTCACGTTGACACTGGTGACTACATCGTTGTGATCAATGCTGAACAAGTACAAGTGACTGGTAAAAAATCACTTGATAAGAAATACTATCGCCACACTGGTTTCCCTGGTGGTATTCGTGAAACTAATTTCGAAAAATTAGTTGCTCACAAACCAGAAGAAATCTTCGAACGTGCTGTAAAAGGCATGTTGCCAAAAGGTCCTCTTGGTTACGCGATGATCAAGAAAATGAAAGTGTACGCTGGTACTGAGCATCCTCATACTGCTCAACAGCCACAAGTTTTGGACATCTAAGGGATACAGCACATGGCTACTAACTATGGTACAGGTCGCCGTAAGACCGCAACTGCACGTGTTTTCCTATCAGCTGGTACTGGTAAACTCGTAATCAACAACCGCACTCTTGAACAGTATTTCGGTCGTGAAACTGCTCGTATGGTTGTTCGTCAACCACTTGAGCTTTTAGAAGTTACTGAAAAATTTGACCTTTACATCACTGTTGCTGGTGGTGGTATCGGTGGTCAAGCAGGCGCTATCCGTCACGGTATTACTCGTGCATTGATCGCTTCTGACGAGACTTTAAAACCTGCTCTTCGTCAAGCTGGTTTCGTTACTCGTGATGCTCGTGAAGTTGAACGTAAGAAACTTGGTTTACGTAAAGCTCGTAAACGTCCTCAATTCTCTAAACGTTAATTCGTTTACCGAATCGGACAAAAAAACCTCGACATTTGCCGAGGTTTTTTTATGGGGTAACTATTTGAAGTTACTTTGTTTTATCTTGTTTAGAACAGTCCATGACAGCGTCAGTAATCCCATCGGCAGCTTTTGATTCTGTAATCGTACAACCATTTTCCTGATAAGTTCGAGTTTCCTTAGAAAACTTATGATCTTTCGGAAGCGGTGCATTACATGGCTTATCAGTCTTTACATTGACCATTTTCACAGGTCCATCATTATAGATCGTCACCTTACAACCTTTTACGACATATTCTTGTTTGATCCCACCATACATTTCATCTTCAGAAGCAGCAGACGCAACATCACAGGCCTCATCTGCACTACATAAGGCCCCTGCTCCAGCCACTTCCGCTCCAGCGGCTTCGATTGCTTCAGCTGCAGCCTCTTGTACTTGAGCATCTACAGATTGCTTCTTTGCATATGTATTTGAAATACTCATCATCAACAGCAATGCCAAAGCTAATTTACTGTGCTTATTTATTAAATTCATAGGTTTATCCTTGTTTTCTATCTACTTGATAGCAATACCCACCATAAGCTTATTAAAGTTAAGATGATTTTATTGTCTATTTTTAGTATTCTACTCTATTCACTTCACTTAGTTTTTGGAATATGCCTGTCGAAAATGCACCTCAACAAGGGATTACATTGTATAGCCACGAGGATGACTTTCGTTCACATTGGATTAGATTTCTTCTTGCAGAAAAACAAATTAAACACACCTTAATCATTGTCGAAGAAGATGATGAAGATTTAGCCAGTTTAAATCCATATAATCAACTACCTATGCTGATTGAAAATGATTTAAAGCTGTTTAATACCAGTATTATTTCTGAATACTTAGATGACCGTTATCGACAAAATAAACTCTATGCGGATGCCCCAGCACCACGCGCAGAGCAAAGACAGTATATTTGGCGCTTTGAACAAGATTGGCTTAAACTTGCAGACATTATGCTACGCCACCCAGACACACTTAATGAAGCTGCAAAAAAGAATGCACAAAAACAATTAAAAGATACTTTGGTATCCCTTACCCCACTTTTTCAACATTATCCTTATTTTATGTCTGAAAACTTTACAATTTTAGATTGCATGTTAGCGCCAATTTTCATACGGTTAAAACATATGGGAATTGAATTACCGAAACAGCAATCTCGTCCAATTTTATTATATTGCCAACGGATTTTTAGCCGCCCTGCTTTTTTAAAGTCGATGACTTTTAAAGAGAAAAACAGATATAGTGAATTTTTGGCAAAATTCTAGATCGCAAATCAATAGAGTATTTTTTAATGTCTGAACAAGAATTGAACTTAACCCCAACTCGACCATACCTTGCACGCGCAATATATGAATGGATTTGCGACAACAATTTAACGCCATACTTACTTGTTGACGCAACCAAACCCTATACCGATGTACCACAACAATTTGTACAAGATGGGCAAATTGTATTGAACATCGCACCACATTCTGTGCATATGTTAAATATGACCAATGAAGCAATTACCTTCTCTGCTCGTTTTAGTGGTGCATCTAAAGATATCTATGTGCCTATAAATGCAGTATTAGGCTTGTATGCACGCGAAAATGGACAAGGATTATTCTTTGATCCTGATGAATATGCCAATGTGCAAATAGATGAAGATGTTTTAGAATCAAATACTAGTGAAGAAGTAGAAACTAAAACTGAGGCACCAAAGAAAAAACCAAGTTTAAGAATTTTAGAATAGAACAAGGAGAACTGAATGGCTTTTGATCTCGTACAATACTTTGCTGAGCAGATAAAGATTCAAAAGCCTCAGCTATTATCTCAATTAGAGCCTGCTCAACGTATAGCACATATTGAAGAACTCAATGCTTTAACGTTGGGTAAACTCATTACGCTATGGCGTAAAGATGATGATGCGTTGTATCAAGAAATTCTTTCGCAAGATCAGTTGTACAGCCAAGAAATTTCTCGACACCTCACCACCTCTACTCAGAATAAATCCAGTTTAGATAAATCTATACTTGAACCAGCAACAACGGAAATTCTTGAACTACAGCTTGCTGAATTAAAGCAGCTTGAAACAGCAGGAAGTTTAGGTAAGCGAGGTCTTCGAGAATTGGTGATCGGGCAAATTGAGCACCTCTCAGGTCAGGCGAAAGATTGGGTTTGGTCAACAAACGAACTAACCGAACTGATTGGCTCTCAACCTGTGCCTGAAGAAGAGATATCATTAGATGAAACGATGAAGGAGTTTAATCAAATGGTCAATGTTCAAAAAGCAGATCTTCATACAGATCACCAAGAAGTCGTAGTAACCGAAACGGCAAATCCTACTTGGGCTAAAATTGCAGAACCTGTGGTGGCACTTGTGGTTTTGTATATTCTTTTTGAAGCAGCGACGAAGCTTTTTGCTTAATTTAGTCTGATAATCAAAAATTATAAAAAGCGATCGAAATGATCGCTTTTTTTCATGTAAAAAATACTTAAGTAATTTTAATCATTTCACGTGATTAAAATCACAGTAATAATATTATAAATGATAAAATATGCACAATCATAATAAACATTCAAATTACTATTAAGTTAAGCTTTTATTGATAAAAATAACTAAGCAATTTATTTAACTTTAAGATAGATTTTTTATAATAACTAATGTTAATTTAAAGCCATGAAACTCTCTAAACGTTAAGAAAAATTAACAGTTTACACAGGAGGATAATAATGCAAGAAATATACTGATTAAATGCCAAGCAATTAAACATTAAAAAAATGATTTTACTGGAAAAAGAACAAATCTAGCGTTAACTTAAACTAACTACGACCGTTAAAAAACAGTTTACACTTTAATTTTTTAATATTAGATAAGTGATATTATGAACAATCAATGTATCAATATCGCAATTTCAGGCTTAGGTTTAACCACCTCTGACGATCTTAAAATAAGACTTAGAAAAATTTTACCAACCAACATTGGTATAAATTGGACAAGTGTTTCAGATCAAAATATAAATTGTATTTTGATCAATGAGCAGTTTTTTGAAAATAATAATATCCAGAATATTATCCAAAATAAAAATATTCCTTATTTAAAAATTTCAAAACATAGTGAGCATAAAGAAAGTGCTGAAGATAATTTACTCTGCATCCCGATTTATGACGAATTTACACTGAAAAACTGGGTCAATATCAAATTACTGCATAAGACTGAAACAGAACAATCTGAACTTAGCCAAACTCCAGATGATGAAGCTGATGATCAACTTGAAATCAAAGAAATTGATTTTTTTGCAGCGCTTTTCCATCAAGACAGCCGCAAAGTTATATTAAATGATCATCTCGGTACGATTGCGATTATCGACCATCATGCGCATCTGGCATGGCTAGAAGCTACCCGTGAAGAATACCAAACAGATCGCTCGATACACTACACCGCGGCAGTCACTGCGGACTTTATAAAAGTCTCTCGTAAACGACAATTCAATTTAGAAAATTGGTTATTTAACCTGATTTGGAAAAATCCCAATTTAATTACCGTACCTGCAGCTGATAAATATTATCGCCTCAAATTTTGGGTTCAACCCAATGAGCTGGATAAGAAATTACTGTTACAACTAAGTGCATGTTTTATTTCTGGGGCTGAGATTCAACACGTCTCAGACAAACTCAACATCCCAGTCACAACCGTGCAGCACTTTGTTGCTGCGAATTTAGCCATCCATAACGCTGAACTGATTTCAGCAAAAGAAAGCCTATTTGATAAAACATCAAGTGATACTGAGCAAACGGAAGAAAAAGGAATTTTAAAAAGCTTTTTTAACAAATTAAAAAGTCGATTTAAATTTTAAGGGATAAATACACGATGATTATTCAGAAGTATAAAATTGTTTTTGCAGGTTCAATGGGAGCAGGTAAAACTGAAGCGATTAAATCATTATCAGAAGTACCTGTATTAGCAACTGAAGCATTTAACACCGATGATCGTAGCCATAAAAAACTAAACACAACCGTGGGAATCGATTATGGCGAAGTAACCCTTGATGATGGCAGTAAAGTTGGGCTGTATGGCACACCAGGACAAGGTCGCTTTGACTTTATGTGGGGCGTGATATGCAAAGGCGCGATTGGTACGATTTTGTTGATTGATCATAGCTTAGCAACACCCTTAGATGAACTTGAATATTACCTCAATATTTTTAAACAGTATGGTGAAAACATTGTGATTGGAGTCACCCATATCGATGATGATATGAATAAGCCAACGCACCAATACCGTCAATGGTTGATGGAACGCGATCTAAATTTACCTGTGTTTTTTATTGATGCACGCAAGAAAGCCGATGTGTTATTGCTCTTAGAAACCTTAATCACCACATTAGAAGTAAAATATTTATAGACTATTGATATGTATCCGCTTACTGTAAACGTATTCGGATACTGAAAAGTCACTATATTTAAACCAATTAATTATTCATATAAGTGATATCTATCAAGTCATTGATTAGAAAATAAGCTTATGTTTTGTATTAACTTTTAGGAAATTTTGGTTATCAATTGATTTTTTGTA